AAAAGGGCATGTATGGCATGGGGGGTGTGTGTGTGTGTGGTAGGATGAGAAAGCATGGTGGGGAGAGAGAGAGAGAGAGAGAGAGAGCATGTGAAGCTGATGGGCTGCCATGCATACTCCTCTTATCTCCATCACCCACAGTTCTATGCCGCTCTCTTTCTATCTTATTTTAGTCAATTATATTAAATTTTTTATAAACTCATTCCATTTTATTTCATTCATTTACAATAATCAATAACTCAAGAGGTAGCCCTGAAGATGTAAAATGCATCCAATAAAAAAAAGCATGTCTAATGTTGGCTAGAAGAATATAATTTTATCTTGTCAGATTAATTTATAGTTGTAAATTATTTATACACTAGCTCCAAAAATATTCTTAAAATATTCTTAGAATCAATGTATACTCTCTTTATTAAAAATTATAAAGTAGAGTAATTAATGATAGTTTAAAAAATAGTGTATATTTGAAATTAATGAGATTTTAATGTTTATTCATGATTAAATTATCCAATTAATAATGTTTAACTATTTTTAAAAAGAAATTTAATTAAAAATGTTTGATAATTTTAAGACTAAGGACAAAGGAGTAAATATAAATGGAAAGAATATTCCCCGGACGAACCTTCCAATTTCGAACTAATCATTGACCTAAGTTGGCGAAATTGAATGAATCGGATAGTTCGTTTGGGCATTCCCCACGTTGCGCCCCACAAGTCTCTGTGCCCTTTCTGGTCAAACATAGGAAAAGAAAATGATATTGTGTTCTCTATGAATTCCAATTCTCTCAACCTGCCACGTGGTTTTTGTGTTCTGGTATCTCAAGTTCGTGGCCAAGAATCCCTTGTACCTTTTAAATATAATTTTTAGTTTGTTACCATAATGTAGCTTTAGTTTTGTTTCAAGTTAAGGGGATAAAAAGCAAATATTGTTTCAAGTTAACTTAATTAATCTCATTAACTGCACGGGAGAATATGTAAAAAGTAAAAAAATTATATACTCAGTCATATTTACTTCAAGTGTTTATTTCAATTAAATAAAGACATATATATTTTTTATATATTATTTATTTTATAAAAAATTCTTGTTATTAATGTTATTAATACATTAAAATTCACAATTTGATAGGATAAAAAATATATTAAATATATAAGATTAAGTACATAAGTCTTATCCTTTTTAAAAACATATAAAGCTAAAAAAAAAGTAAATTAGTGGTTCAAAAATAAAATACAAATTAGCACATGTGTAAGAAAAAACAAAAAAATAGTGCTTACTTGCTTTATTTTTGTTATGTGACTATCTGATTGGATCATATTTCATTATTGGCAAGTTTGATTAGGGTAGCTCTTCCAATGAGCTCTCCACGTTCACATAGGTTTAAATTCATGACCTTGTGTTTAAGTAATCATAATTTTTTCCATTACTATCAACACCTGCTAATACTTATTTTACTTCTATATGCTATATTGATTGATGGATTAATTAAATTGACGACCAGGACCACAATAATAATAAACGGACAATGACATGCTTGAGTTTCAAAGAGATAACCAAATAGCGAGACTTATGTCTTGCACGAAGTTTAGATGAGCTGCATTGTTTATAATTTACAAATAATATAATCTGTTTAATGAATTTAGCATCATATATATCAATTATATTAAATAATCCACAAGAGTCCATATTTATTTTAAATTTTGGTAAAAAAATATTTATTATGGATGACCACAAAAATTATAACTTAATTCATGAAGAGGTAATTAGAAGAAGAAAAGTGCTTCCTGAAACTGAACACCTCACAAATAGTGACTCTTCAAGGCTGATTGAGAGTGGTCTTGTTTACAAGGGTTGGGTTTGGCTGCATCCAAACTGAAGCACTTTTCACATAGTTCATTTGTATATTTGCTTTCTGTTTTCCGCCACATTGGGTAGCTCATCAAACTAGGTTAATTTATGAGAAAATTTCAGTCTAATTTATGGGGAAAATTTCAGTCTATATCCCTTGACCAAATATAATAAAACTAGAGCCCTTAAAGTTTGAAATTTCACTGTAGATTAATTGCAATGAAATAAAATTAAAATGTTGATCAAGGCAATGATAAAATTGACCCCTTGATTCTGTGAAGTCATGCACATAAACAATTTTGGCAAAAAATTTAACCACTTCAATATATTAAATGAACAATTTTAACATGAAAAATTTGTAATTTTATTTACTATAGTAACAATAGTTTGAATAAAAATAAATGAGGATATGTGCTCCAATAGTTCTTGTAAGAAAATTAATCACTTTAGTCTGTGAAATGAACAACTTGGCAATTATTTTTACGATGATGACAACGCTAATAATAAAATCAAGTTACATGTACAAACAACTCCTATAAAAAAATAATCATTTCAATATGAGTAATAAACATACGTAGTATGGGGAATTTGTTACTCCTTTTACTACAACAATAATATTAAGAATAAAATTAAGTAAAGTTATTATATGAATAACTCTGGTAAGAAAATTAATCACTTCAGCATGGGAAGTGAATAAATTCAGTGTGGAGAATTTGCAAGCATCTCTTAATAAATTTAAGCCACTAGAGATAATGTGGTAATTTTAGTTTGTATTTTAATTTCATTTCACAATCCTTGGTCTGCAATTGGATTGAAAATTTTCCTTGATTTATCTATACTAGTTTTAAGGAAGAATACCAACAAAGAACCTCTGAAGCGATTTAATATCTGACAAGAGCTTGAACGGATCAGGTACTTATTGAAATTTAAACTTGACATATTAATTGTTAATGTTTACTTATTAAAAGTCTCTATCAAATATTAAATCATTTTAGAGGTTCTTAATTGATATTCTCCCTAATTTTAATTACCTTACGGGAACAAAAGAATTTTAACTATCTCAACATACTAACAAAGTTGATAAAAAAAAAATTTCAACTATCAAATTCATTTAGTGGGATAAAAGAACTCAAATACTGCATCATTATTTTTAAAAATAGTTCCTATATTAAGAGTGTTAGCTGGCTCAGGATGCAAACTTGCAAACCGTGATAATTTTTTTATATGGCCATTTTAACGTGTCAAATTTGAGTATTGTCAGGTTTAATTAATGGCAACTCTTCTAAATGCATTTTATACATTCTTAGATTTAAACTCAAAATCTCATACAAATATGATCATAATTCCTTTTCCTATGACCAAAACCGATTCCATAAACTGGTATGTCGCTTGAAGTACCCTCTGGCCTGAATTTTCAACTCTGGGCCAGCGAAGTTGTAGTATTGGGTCAAAGGTTAGCCCAATTAAAAATATAATAAGAAACTTTTTAAAAATTGTTTAAACATAATATCATGACAAGAAATCAAATTATTTTAATTTATAAAAACCAATAATTGTAAAATAAATCTATTGCATTTATATAATAATTTAAATCCAATCATTTGATAATAAAAAATTTTAAAAAGAAGACGAAATAAAGAAATGAATCAGGCCAGGCTCACCCACCCCGGTAAACCTATATATGAATATCCATACTTCAAATCTAGACAAATTTTTTTAAAAATTTGGAAAATCGGAAGAAGGAATTAATATTTTTTATTTTTTTTCGGTGGCATAATGTGGTAGTTAAAATTATTATAAAATAAATCAACCTAATTCCAAGCACGCATTTTATGTTAAGTAAATTAACGGTACTGAAATGGTGAAGGTTTTAAACTATATTTCCAAACATAAATTATTGGAAAGAATTGTAATAAAATTATAGGGCATCTTGGTTTTTGCCATTAATAAAATGAGTCAATTAGAGGACTAAATTGAAATTTGGTGTAAACTTTTAGCTCCAAAAGTATAGTTTTTGTCAAAAAAAAATTAAAACTTTCAGTTGTTGAATATTTGGTGGGGAAAAAAAAAATCAACTTCTCATGAATATTTGAGAAAAAAATTGTATTTAAAATATTTTTTTTTCCATTTTAGATACTTTTTCCGGCCATCCATTTAATATCTCATTTGGCATCACGGAGACGGAATAAAATTCCCTCTTGGTACAACTAATAAAAATTCTTATTTTTATTTAAAAATAAAAATCTAATATATATATATATATATATAATATTTTCCTTATCAATGAATATTTTTATAATTAAATAATTAAGTAATTTACTATAATCAACGTCCATTGATATTAGAAATAAATTTATACTTTTTAAATTACCAATAATAACAATAAATAATTTTGTAGTTAATTAATTATTAACATTTTAATTAAATGAAAACGACATTAAATATTAAAATATGAAAAATAAGAGGCCTCCATTTGGCGGCTGAGGTTAGGCAAGAGGGCCAATGAAGACTTTGAAGGCGCCAACCTTCAGACATAAACAGCGCATCGCCAACGTCGGCCGTCTGGAATCTGGATAATGTAGTTTATGCTTAGTCCAATTAATTAAATTAAATTAAATTAACTTAAATTAATCGAGATAACATTGCACGTACTTGTTAATTTTATATTTTGTTCAACAATTCTTTTCACATTAATTCACCTCACATTTTTTTTTAATTAAAAGGAAACAAAATCATCAATCTTAGAACATCGTCTCAATATAATCTACATTAACTTAAGAATAATTAAATTTATATTTATATTTCTTAAGAGGCAAGTTAAAAATAAAAAATGATTTTAACTTTGGAAAGTCAATTAAACTTAAACCAAATCATCAAAATACGACATTCATCCGTACATTATTTCTTATAAATCTATTTAAATTAAAGCCAAGTTGATACCGCCGGATAACATTAATATAATAATCCCCATTTTATATTCGGACAACGAAAACGACCAATCATGCGCCGTAGAGAATAGAGATACCCACGGACAACATTACAGCATAGTGATACGTTGTATTGTAGGCAGGCACAGCCGCGCTTAATCATGAATTAAATGAATCGTCGTGCGCGTGTCGCATACGGGTGCGACCCGAATCACTACGGTGGTCATTGGTCAGTCAGTGTCACTACGAGGCTTCTCTTGCAAGCGACTCTTGATCTAAAAGTTAACCCTTTGAGAAAACGTGTCCCTCAACATGTTTGACAAGGAGAAAAAGAAGACATCACTGCGATCCTGATTCTGTTTATAAGATATTCTCTTACTTAATTTCTTCATTGATTGAGAGTTTGTCCCCAATTTTGTGCGATTCATCTTGTTCTTCTGTAATTATAGTTAGTATGAGCCGAGATTAGCTCCTATTTTACAGATATTATAACAACACACAGTACAATCGGCTTGAGCTATATATATATATATATATATATATATTCTAACTTGTTCTTTACGTACGAAGGGCGTTTGGCTGATCTGCTAAAAGGTGAGTTGGGTGGTACCTGCGTTTTCAGACAACTTTACCTGCTTTTTCAGGGTCTCTTATGATTTGTGGATGCGTTTTACTTTAATCTCTTCTGAGGCTTGCGTGTGTTTGTTTATTAAATTAGCCTTCTTTTCCTTTTTTATTACCTTTTTTTTAGGTGTTTTTAATTTTATTCTTTTGGTGCCCATTGGGTCCTGCGTTCTGGTTTGCTAATTCCGGGTTTGTCGTGTAGTGTGCGATCTTCGTAGAAGCTTGTGAGGGTGGACATGGAGGAACGGTATGAGCCACTGAAAGAACTTGGTTCAGGGAATTTCGGAGTGGCCAGGTTGGTGAGAGACAAGATCACGAAAGAGCTTGTTGCTGTCAAGTACATAGAAAGGGGGAATAAGGTAAAATCTTTTGCTAGGCTACATGAGTAGGCAGAGAATTCCTAGGGGGATCAATGCTATTTGTTAAATATGTTCGATTCTCTGCTATTCATCTCTCTCTGTTATCTTCTCCTATCTGGATTAGCATATGGTTTATTTGTTGGGATTGCAATCCTTGAAAGCTGTAAATTCTGAGAGATTTTCAAGTAGTGTCGACATTGCTTTTACTTTACTCATTGAGTTTTCAGGGTACTGCAAACTGGTTTGGTAATTATGATACGTATTGATTGTTGAAAGGTCTGTTCTTAACAGATTTTGCTTCCTCCATGTGCTTTCTTCCTGCATGTTCTTGATAATTGTTCTTCCATGTACTGTCTCAATGCAGCCAAGGCTTTGTTTTTCTTGCTTATTGGTAATGGTAATTTCATATTAAAATGTCCCATTCTGCTTGAACCCTTAAAAAGCTACTCTGCATTTTTTTTTTAATTGATATCCTTTGCTTCTGATGTTGAAACCTTAGTCGTGTTTGCAAATGCTGGCAACATTTAAGCTGATGTCTGATGATTTTCCTTTTTTGGTAAAACGATGAAAAAGTTCATGTTTTGTCGTTGTTGTCTCTATCACAATTGGCTTATTACATCATCTCAATCTACACTCTTGACATGGGTATCAGAAGCAATCTTATAAGTTATTTTCTGGGAAAACGCAACTATAAATCCCTATAGTTTTGTCAGACTTTGCTTTTAATCTGTACAATTTCTTCAACTCTAAAATTATAGGACCTTAATAACAAATGTCACTCAATCTTGACGAAACTATATAGACTGAATAATAAAAAAATTGTAGAAATTAAAAGTGAAATCCAATAAAATTATAGACACTGATGATTGGGTTTTTCTCATTTCCTTTATGTTTGTTCCAATTGCTTTGCTCATCCTGACCTCCATCTTTTTCGAAATGTCTGCTTTTTCTTCTTTCAGATTGACGAGAAAGTTCAGAGGGAGATCATTAACCACCGATCTTTAAGGCATCCGAACATTATCAAGTTTAGAGAGGTAATGGTTTTGTTTTTATTTTTTTCCCCTTTTGTACTTAGAAGTGTCACTTTTTAGGTTTCAAGATATGGAATAGGAAACATTGGACGTGGTAAATAGTAAAGCATTGAAGTCTCAACTCTCAAATTACACTGTTACATTTTTTTATTGTTCACAACTTGACATCATATGCAGAAAAGAATGAACCTGCTTGTGGTATTATCTTTGGAAATTATCTTGCAAACCAAGAGAATTATATTATGTAGATTTCTCCGCAAATAATGAATTTGAGACTTTTGTGCAGGTCTTGCTGACCCCAACTCATTTAGCCATTGTCATGGAGTATGCTGCAGGTGGTGAACTCTTTGAGAGAATCTGTAATGCTGGTCGATTCAGTGAAGACGAGGTCTTAGATTTTTTTTTTGTTAAAAAAAAAAAAAACTCAGCTACAACAGTTAAAAGCATCTGTGTTCAAATATTTACTAAATGACTAATTATCTCGCAGGCGAGGTTTTTCTTCCAGCAACTAATATCTGGAGTTAGCTATTGTCACTCAATGGTAAGTTTGCATTGTCATTCAGTACAAAAACTTGCGTGTTTCTAACAATCTGTATATGCTTTTGCTGCAGCAAATTTGTCACAGAGATCTGAAGTTGGAAAACACGCTCTTGGATGGAAGTCCAACACCTCGACTCAAAATATGTGACTTTGGTTACTCCAAGGTTGGTGCATAGTAACCTGTCACTTAAATAAACCTTTTTTCTTGAGAACCCTGAATTTTTGTCCTTAAAACTATGTATGATATATGCAGTCTGCTATACTGCACTCTCAACCGAAATCTACCGTTGGAACTCCTGCTTACATTGCTCCAGAGGTTCTGTCACGAAAAGAGTATGATGGAAAGGTATCGTGAGTTGCCTTAGAAATTTGTGTCAATGAATCTGATTGTATGAAGCTATGCTTGACGCTTGATGTTGTTTGCAATTTGGTGATTGTTTTAGATTGCAGATGTTTGGTCATGTGGTGTAACGCTTTATGTCATGTTAGTTGGAGGATATCCATTTGAAGATCCTGAAGATCCTAGGAATTTCCGAAAGACCATTGGAGTGAGATCCTATCATCATCAACATCACACTTGTGAACTATGTGTGACAAGAAACTGAAACTTAATTTGTTTGCTCTTGTTGGCAGAGAATAATGAGTGTTCAGTACTCCATACCCGACTATGTACGTATCTCTGCAGATTGCAGACATCTTCTTTCTCGCATCTTCGTCGCCAATCCTGCCAAAGTATGTGCATCTTTTATATTCTTATCACCTTATAATGACACAATTAATTTATGTTTTGCATGTGCAAACTACCTATTTGTTGTGATTTTTTTGTTGAAGAGGATAACAATCCCGGAGATAAAAGAGCACCCTTGGTTTTTGAAGAACTTGCCTAAAGAGATAATTGAAGCTGAGAAAAAAGTGAATGAGGAAGCGCAGAAAGATCAACCGAGCCAGAGTGTTGAAGAAATAATGCGAATCGTTCAAGAGGCAATGACACCGGGGAAAGATTCCAAGGGTGGAAGCCAAGCTGGTGGAGGAGGTTCGTTGGACGGTGAGGATGATGATGATGATGAAGAATCTCAACTTGATGTTAGTGGTGACTATGCTACAACACAGTGACAACTGTCATATTTTGCATTGTATATTATGTTCAAGAACATATCAAGCCTGGTTCATAGATGGGGTTTGTGTTTATCAGCTAAATAATGTATCAGATTCCTTATTTGTAAAAAGGCTTGATTGGTGTTACTTTCAGTCACAAACCAAAAATCACAAAGCTGCGAAAGTTATAATTTTTTTTTCCTTGTAAGAAAAGGCAGAGAGAAAACAGTTCGGCCGTGGAATTTGATTTATAAGCATGTGCTTCATTAATATTATACATTCACTATGAATGAAGATAACCATTTTTGTTTAATTGTTGGACAAAGAATTGGCAAAAATCTATATCCTGCTTCTATATGATATAAAATTTATCAGAAGTTTCACCAACTCATTTCAGATTCTATCAAATATAGGATTCGTTGTGCAGTGGTAATCATATATTAATAACAATGGATAGCAACATCAAGATACTTTTGAAACAATTTTTTTACCCAAAAAAGGTCAATTTTATTAATCCCAAAACAAAATATAGGCACACATATAACATCTCAAAAATTTAATCCAAAGGTTGGATTAATTAATTATGAGGTCTAATTAATTAATTGTGATAATTAGAAGTTAATTATAAATTTTGGATGGCCATTTGGTTCCATTAGACCTTATATGAGGTCTAAAATAAGGTTTAAAGAGTTAAAGGTTCATTCTAGGCCTAAATTTATGAGCTTAAATGATGTTGTCTATTTTGAACCATTCGTTGTGATAGATGGTGCAGTGTGTCATGGCAAATACAAGCAGATTTTAAATCTAGATTTTGCACAAAAATAGAGAGGAATTTTGAGAGTGAGTTCATGAAGAGAATGAGAAGCTCTACTAGAGTTTTATTTTAGAGGATTTTGAAAGTGATTTGGAGCTTCTAAATCATTGGATGAGTCTCTTTTCTTCTTCTTTTACCTCTACGAGCTTTTATTTTTTGGTTTAACTTAGGGGAGTGAAGGCTACTCGAAATGACAACTAAGTTTAGCCATTTATATAACTTTAATTTAATGGAGTCCATGGATACTAATAAATATTTTTAATCTTGGTTTTAAGTGGTTGGCATCATTAAATGCCATTAATGAGGGTTTAGAGTTAACCTTGATGTTAAATAATTAATTAATTTTAAGCTAAAGAGGTTAGCTAGCAGTATTCATTAAGCTTAATTAGATTTAGGGTTAATGAATAAAATAGACCCTAAAGTATTGCCTGAAAAGCGTTTTTAACCCTGAACTCTTAAAATGTGCAAAATAAACCCTGAACTTTTAAATTTATAGCAAAATAAACCCTAATCGTTAAATTTTTTAACATCATTACTATTTATGTGGGTATTGTTTATAGTGGGCCCCAATTAGTGTTGACATGTCATTGTGAATAAGCTCCATGGACCCTAAATTATTATGTTAGTAGCGTTCTGAACTCTAAACTATTATGTTAATAGTCTTTTAGACCCTAAACTATGAATTTTTGAGAAAATTAGCACCATCATTTATGTATAAAACATTGACTATTATGTAGATTAAATTAACCTCAGTATGGTTCGCCACGGTGAACGCATCGTTGACCCTGGTGGATGACCAATAATTTTGTAAAATGATATTTTTTGTCCTTTTTTTGTAACATTTTTTAAATGATTGGCATCTCATGCTTCTGTATACTCTATAATTCTAATTTAGTCTTATTTTGAATAATGTTTATTTTTTTAATGGTGAAAATTTGGGATCTTATTTGAAAAGAAATTTAAGTATTATAGGATTTTACAGATAATGGATGCAAAAGCTGATGATTTCATCAATAGATTTAAAACTCAAACTAATAGGTTAATTAAAATTATCTAATATTTAAACTTCCTTTCAAAAAGGATCCTAAGTTTTTATTATTAAATAAATAAATATTATTTAAAATAATATTAAATTAGAGTTATAAAGTATATGGCAGCATAAGATACCAATTGTTTGGAAAACTTTGCAAAAAAAGGAACAAAAAATGTCATTTCATAAAATTATAGGTCATTTGCCATGGGCAACTACACATTCACTGTGGTGAATCATATTGAGGCTAATTTAGTCTATATAATAGTCAATGTTCTATATATAAAGTTTAGGATAATTTGCTCAAAATTTTAAAGTTGAGAGTCTAAAATGCTACAAATATAATAGTTTATGGTCTGTGACACTAATTCATAATGACACGCTAGCGTTAATTAGGGCCCATAATGAACAGTAACGGCATTAAAAAATTTAACAGTCAAGGTTTATTTTGTTACAAATTTAAAAGTTCACGGTTTTTACACATTTTAAGAGTTTAAAGTTGAAGGCACTTTTCAGGGTCTATTTTGCTCGTTAACCCTTAAAGTTAAACAAGCTAATGACAGTGATTTATGCTTAATCATGCTAATGAGGATATTAGTCTTCAATCATGATTAAGGGTTAATTAGTGATGATTAGTTATTAATTATGTTTGTTAACCTCAATCTATAGAGTTATTGCTTTGAGCTTGCTAGGTTATGGGGAAGCTCCCTAAGAAATATAAAGTTACAAGAGTGGTAAACCTAAGAATTGAGATAACTAAGCATTTAATTTTAATATATGATTGTGTTGGTTAATTGTAGCTTGATACCATTATTGATGACTTGGTTTGGTGTTGATGTCATTGAGCATGATGGTGTTACCTTATGGGATGTTATGTGATTGTGAAACTTGCCTATTGGTAAGAAAGTTACATTTCTTGAGAATATGTATCCCATGATTATGGTGATTAATGACTTGATAAGTATGTTTGTTGATATGTTGGTTGCATATCATAATGGTTGTGTATATGACTTGGTTATGATTATGTTTGTAAGGGATCATGCATGCAAGTTCATGAGGTTATTGAAAATGAATATGCCTATGTTTATGTAACTATAAGTGATGATTGCAAGCATGAATAAGTTAGCATATGCTTATTGAACTTGCATGCTTATAATGGGTAGGAGTTTACCTTGAAGTAGTAAAAGGTATTATTGGAAAAATTTGTGTGGTGTGGCCTTTACTAAGTTTGTGCACAGTAGTTGACAAATTTATTTATACATGTGTTTAGTATTGCTATTAACCTTTAGGAATGGCATGGATTTGGGTCAAGCATAATGCTCAATATTATTGATCTTTAAAGGGATGGTGTGGGTTAGAAACTTATAACACCTCGAAATTTGAGAAGGAAAAATCTATGATCCAAGAGTAAGTATGAGAATTTTTGGTTAGGTAACGCTTCACACATGGAAAATGAGGCTACCCTAGTCACACAGGTTAAGCCTATATGAATTAGTAGCCCTTAGATTCGGTTAGGTGATATAAGAAATGGCATGACATGGTTGCATTTGATTATGTGGATTATGGCATGATGATGCATTGTGATAAATGTATGGATTGTCTTGTGTGATATTTATGTTTGATTATGGTGAATGTTACACTTTTATATGCTTTAATCAAATTTCTTAGTTATTAAGATTGTTTAATCTCATTCTTGTTGATTAACATATTTCCAAGAGACCAAGCAGTTGAGATTTGGGTTGTGATGCTTCTAGCTGCCTATGTGATGTAATGAATTATATATTTTGCCAATTCTAGGATTTGTTTGTTAACAGGATTAATTATTAGTTGCATGTAGCCTCATTTATTGTCTTGGGTATTTTGTTTGTTTGGTCTTGTAATAGCATGGCCCCCAACCCCTTACGCTGGTGAATGTAGTACTGGCATGTGTCCCCTTATGGGCCTACATGTAACTTTCCCCTTAAGGAATGTATAGGTTATTCCTTATCCTACCAAAGAAGTCTTTCTTTTGAAACCTTCTCAAGGATCAAGCCCCCAACCTCTCTTACCTTAAGGAATAACCCATGTATTGCTATGAGAAAAGTAGCATGTAGGCCTGTGAGGGGACGCGCACCAGCACTGCATTCGCTAGCTTAAAGGGCTGGAGGCCGTGCTGTTATAGGTCTCATATTTTTAGGGAAGGTTAACCATGTAAATATGTTTAGATGATTGACGAGTCATACTTTCAGATATATGCTGTGCTAATATTAGTATGATTTATACATGTATAAGTTTTATGTAGGTGGAATATAATTGTAATAATCAGGGGAGAGGAGACACTTGTAGTATGCTTTATGCATAAATGCTTAACTTGGCACCGACTATTCTATGATCCTCATTTGGTATTGAATTATAGTGAAACCGAGACCAGTAGGTAGGTCTCTTAATTATCTTTGTGTCGACTCTTAGATCACTTTAATTGAAGGTTCGAGCAATTAATTGGGAGTTTTGAAAGTTTAAATTTCCCACTATCATAACTATACTATTTTTAGGTGTGTGTCGTAGCAAATGGTTTTGTTGGTCATGGCTAAGGGTAAAGTCAAAAAAATTTATTAGGGAGGCCGAAATAATAAAGTATATATGGTAATTGAAACAAAATTAAATATATATATATATATATATATTCCATTTGTTCAAAAATATAAGGCTTTTTTAACCAAATCTCAACCCTCAATAAAGTAGTTACCTACTTCCAAACTAATTTTATATTTTTATATAATAAATTTTAATATCTTGGTTATTATAGAAAAAAAGTATTTTTTTTTCTAGAAGAACATATATTAACCATAGCCTCTCAACTTTTGGATAAATAATTTTATGGTAAATATCAAGCACAGAGCATTTAATATATCTTGAAATTTTTGTTGCAGTACTTCGTTAGTAATAATTCTCATAATTTCTTTCATTAAGTATAAAATGAAAGTAAAATAAAATGATATCAATGTTTTAAGAGTAAATGTAATATTATTTTGTTAAAAATAAATAGATTATATGACAACTATATCTTCAAGCTATTGAAATAGTTGAACTATACATGTGCAAAAGACTATTAAAGAATTAAAATAAAAATTTCATCTAATATCTTAAGGTTTTTATAATGTGTCAATTTAAGGGGCTAAAAATCTATAACTCTTAAATTTTACTAAGAAAAAAATTAAAAAGTTAAAGAGGGTCATGGCTCTTAATGGTTTCCCCCTCCTCCACCCCTAGCTATAATGAATTGCTTCATGAGGGTTGGCCATGGCAAATCTTGCTGTTGGCTGTGGCATGTGGTCTTTGTGCCACAAGTCAAGGCAAATGTGCAATTTGGCCATGACATATGTATACAAAATTATTGAAATGTCTGTTTTGCTCTTGTGTGACTTATTTTTAAATACTCAATTCTTATCCTATGTTTCTACAATCTTTTTTGCTTTGATTTTAGGTATTCTCAAGTTTTTATATTTTATTATTTACTTTCAAATAATTTGGGGATCCCATTATTCTCAATGTTTTCAAAGTCAATTACTTAAAATTGTTCTTAGCCAAGGTTGATATTAGTTTTAATTATTGGTCTATTTAATTGAATTTAAGGTTGGTTACTGACAAGGTCACTACAGCACACATTAATAGCCAAAATTAAGGAAAAAAAAACACTCAAAAAAAACCTATACAATACAAACTAACACACAAAACTAAACTAGCAAATAAAACAGAAAAACCAAACAAGTAATAGCAAGAAAGAAACAAAAAGAAGAAATAGTATCAACAAAACAGACAAAAACAAAATCAGCCAATTCCACTGCCAACATGGAGCGACTGACTATCCTCCTCAGAACAATCACTGGCCACTAAAGCATCATTAGTTAGATACTTTTGAAACAATTATTATCATATAAATGTAGAAGTTCTAGCAATCATTGATTCCGAATGATCTTTAGATGTTAGTATATTACCATGGAATTATTTTACCCAAATCAACTTATCTTAGAAGAGGAAATTAATATTGCATTACTTCTTTAAAGTGGATAATAGAACACTGATTATAGTTATTTGAATTGGTTAAAGAAAATAGGAAGAATTATATACAAGTGTCACTCAAAATAATTAATTACTTTTAAATTTATTGACAATTGAATTTAAAAAAATGATAACACAATGTTATCGTTTTCTTAAGTTTAGGTGTTATTAATTGTAGTGGATGGGATTTTAAAATAATTCTTTTAAAAGAATAATGTGTTTTCTTTCTTTTTTTTTAGCCAAACAATGTGTACCTTTTCGAGGATATTTTAGTCCAGCTGCCACGCCCACATCTATTTTTGCCGGTAGAGTTACAATTTCCGCCACATTAATTTTAATGTTTGGATAAAACAAACTAATAATTGATGGAATGTTTGTGGGTCACCTTTTTTTTTTTAAAAAAATAATCATAATAAAAATATTAATAATAATTATAATTTTAAATTATTAAAATTTTAATAACAGATCTTGAAATTAAAAAATGTAAATAATTAATTAAAAAATATATTAAATATGTTTGAAATCATTTATAATATCAATTAAGAATTTATAAGAATTAATTATAAATTATAAATTAATTACTTATAATTTTTTATTATCATTTAAAAATTAATAAAAAATAATTGGATATTTTTATAGTATTAGTTAGGAATTTATTAAAATATATTATAAATTTTAATTTAATTAATAAAAAATAATTATTATAAATAAAAAGCACAATATCTTGATAAAATTTTAATAATTTAAAATTCATAATTATTACTAACAACTTTATGAAGGTGACCTCCTTGGAAACGGCCGGCTTGGGAATTTGAACCCGACGTGAAAAAATAATTTATTATAAATAAAAAGCACAATATCTTGATAAAATTTTAATAATTTAAAATTCATAATTATTACTAACAACTTTATGAAGGTGACCTCCTTGGAAACGGCCGGCTTGGGAATTTGAACCCGACGTGAATCGAACACGCAACCTTCTGATCTGGAGTCAGGCGCGCTACCATTACGCCATGGTTCCGCTAATGCTACGGGGGTCATCTTTAACTGATATTAACACATAATACAATCAAAACGAAATCAAAAATATAAAAGAAATTGATCTTTTAAAATTTTTTTGAGGGGACATGATCAAACTTGGAGAGTCAAATATCTGTTATGCTTGATTAAAATGCTCGATAAACAATAACAAACTTATAAGTAAGTTTAGTTCTTTTAAATAATTAATGTATTACTTTTTTCATATTTTATTATAAGAGAAACTGTCATATGTTTTCTTAATTTTTATAAGCAAATTATAAATTTTAAAAAACGCATATCATATTTTTTAAATTACTTCGCATAAAATTAATGTTTATTTGCATGAGATAAATTCATTTCATTAATTATAAGAAGAATTTAATTTAAAATTTTTAATTTCAACATAAATGTTATATTTAATTAATTTTATGAAACAATATGAATTGATTTTTTTAATATTTAAAAGAGGGGGAATATTTTCATAAATGTTTTTAATAAAATTTAATCACAAAAATAAAAGTCACTTGTGCTGGTCAAAAAAAAAAAGTCATCCGCAACCCCCTTTTTTTCCCCTACCAATGAAAGAATGGATGTAGTTAAACATGAAATTCAGCGTCCAAAGTAGAAAAATGACAAACTACCCTAATTTTTTTCCCCCACTGTCAGAACTCAAAGGGAAAGAACCTGCAAGTGCAACAACTCACCGCACTAGTCTGTGCTTTGAATTACCATGACCGCTCCCTATCTAATCCCATTCATGGTTTCATTTGCATCACGAAAGTGGCACTGTTGTATTGAATCCTAAGTAATTAATCATCCTCTTTCGGTGGTCAACGGCCAACATTTCCCAGAATAACCAAAACGCTAATCCAGTTCATTTTCTGGGTTTTTCTCTTCTTCCCTCATTCTCTAATGGGTCGTAAACCGCACGACCCGGAGACCGCTCTTCCTGGCCGTTTGATCCTCCTTTTGGTTTGTTTGATTTCATGCGGTTTGGTTTACGCCTTCGTCTCGGCAGTGCTCACAACCACAGGGACCTCTTCAGCTTCAGAGTTGGTTGGAGATGGCGAGGCAATGGAGAATTCTGGGGAAAGTTACAGGGGATGCTGTAGAGGAATCGAAAACCTGGAACTATGGGGAGCCGCTGTGAAGTGGGGTTCTCAGTTTAAATTTAATAAGTCAGAGGATTGCTGCAACGCTTGTAAATCCATGTGTACTGGGAACGATGGGCCCTGTCTCTGTGATTCGTGGGTGTTTTGTGGGAATCGTGAGACTTGCGGATCCAAGTTCGGTGAGGTAAGTGATTTTGAATTTGTTTGACGATCTGTTGGATTTACGCTTGGCTTGATTTTGGATGGCCTTGGTAGTGAATCATAATTGCTGAACTAAATGAGTACGATCAGATCAGAAGATATGCATGCACAATATGTCAAGTACAGTATATTTGTCATTGTATTCGAAGAAACGATCTATCATATTTATTCAATTGCCTGTACTGCCCCCAGAAAATTGTGCATTCCTCCGTGTGATTGGTGTTTAATCAATCTTTGAGGTTTTCTGGTTTTTTTTTTTGTCTTTTGTTTTTTGGATTTTGCTTTAGTCCCATCCTATAACTTCATTTTTCCAGTGCTGGTTGAAGAAACAAAAGGACAGCTTGGCCCCTGAACGGCAAGAAGTTGGAGAAAAAGTTAGTTGGACTTCCGGTCTTATCTTTGGAAAAGGAGAAGTAAGACAATAATTTTACTTTTCTATTCCTTATTGTGGATACATTAATTTATAAACGCTATTTCCCCTTCTTGCTACAAAATTGACTCGATAATAATCGGTGAAATATCCGTGAGGCACTGACAGAAGCTTCAATATTCTCCATCACATCACGTGCACTGTCGTGAAAAAGCACGCTTGACCAGACAGAAAGAGCATTACCAATGTTGGAGTCTAGTTTTCTACTTGATGGATGACTTCTAATTTGTTACTCATATTAATTTCTTTTAACCTTGATTGCTTTTATTGACCGTTGGATGTCAGTTAGGATTGATATAATTGATGCATTCACAATTGAGTAGTCTAGAAAGGCGCAGTAAGTGGAAAAGAGTGAAGGAAGTACAGAGATAATAAGGCGTGGGATGGTTTTTCACTCTGCTCACTGGCAAAATATTTTGGATTAAGGTTGGGGGGGGGGGAGATTAAGAAAAAAGGGGTGGGTGGTGACTGCTGAGAGGTTTGAAATTCGAATTGAATAATGTTCTTTCTGAGATCAACAAGATGATGTATTGTTAATATATACCTTTGAACAGTTTGTTGGGAATATATTAACAAGCTGGGCCATTACCCCTCCCCTTTCAAAGTGGAATTGATGAGCAATCGATGCGGACCTGAATCTCTGTTTTTTACTTTTTTTTTTATCGTTCAGTGATGCAAGTCCCTATACTTCAGATGCTAAGACATTTATAGCATGATTTGATGGGTTTGACATGAATCTGAGTGGGACATCACATTTTCATTTTTGCAGGGTATCATTGAACTGGAAACAGAACACGGAGCTCTTCGCGTCAAAGTAAGTGCTCAAGCTTAAGAGAGTTCCAAAATGCTGATGCTTTGATTTTATGGAGTTTTGAGCCTTCTTACTTGTTGTCTGATGAGTCTGTCATCCTTCTTGCTTGAAGTATATGCGATGAATTTATATTGTTTGCTCTTGATCTGTTGTTACTCATCAAGTCTCTAAAGCGTCATATTTTCATGTCTTGTTGTTTATGTTGGGCAGCTTTTCCCTGACTGTGCTCCGCAATCAGTTGCCTACGTCCTAGAGTTGCTGGCTTTGCGCCATTGTGCAGGTTGCCAATTTTATCGGGCAGAAGGCCGAGGCCAATCATGGGATTCAGAAGGAAACCACTTAAAAAATGTAAGATCAAGACTACTCATAGAGATCTTCACATGGATTTATCTATATCACTCTTGCTATTATCTTGTCTGAATTTTCTACTGAAGCAGATCCTCTGTTTTCAACAGGCTCCTTTTGGCCCCCCTTCTGCATTAATTCAAGGAACCTTGGAAGCACAGGGAAACCCATTTAAGAAAATGCCGGTGGAAGACTGCCCAACAATAAGAAGGGGTTCAGTTGCTTGGGTTGATTCAGGACCAGAGTTCTTCATAAGCCTTGCAAACCACGGGGAATGGAAAAAAGCATACACAGTTTTCGGTTCTGTTCTTCCAGAAGACATGAGTATAGCCGAAAAATTGGTGCACTCCCCACAGTTTCTGATGTTTGGAAAAATATCAATGTTTCTGTTTTGGAAAAACCTGTTCCCTTGTTGCTACGGAGAATCCAGAAAAGCCTTGCAGATATTAACACCAATACCAATTCAGCTTAGAAATCTGTTTATGCAAATATGGATATGACAATTCTGGTTTGTAAGTGCATACATGTTCCATTAATTTCTTTTGCGAAGAGCTTATGAGAAAGCGAATTTACCACTCTGCTTTCTTCTTTGAGCGAATATACTTGATCAGCATGCAAGGGAGTGCTCTAGTGGCGGCTGGCTGATGAGATACGGACCGTTTCTTCACTTGCGGGGAAGCTTGGAACAAAAATGTAATGCAAATAAACAGCCATTTATTTTGTGATTATTCTTAGCGGCTTAAAGGTGTCACTTCAAGTTTGCTAGATGGAATATTTTCTTTTTGCACACTAGTTCCTTAGCACAGAAAGGTTTGGTTAAGGTTTTTCGATGAGTAGAAGACGGGGAAAACAAAAGAAATGAAAACAGCAAAGAGAAAAAGGCTATTTTGCTTGGGAGATAAACTGTGATCAAAGAAGGGATATAGAGGAAGAAGAGAGTTCCATGCAAAATGGAATCCATTTTTCACAATTTAACAGGAGCGCACGGCTAATATTTATAGACAAAGGAGTTAGTGTATCTGAAATAACAGAACTACAAACATGGGGTTCACCAGAAACTTCTCCACGATTCCGACTTCTATACTCTATCAGTTTGAAAATAAAGGTAAAGTGCAACAAACAATAGTCCAAACGTAGCGATCCCGACTATAGGGAATTCCTAAGCAAAATACATAGAACAACAAATAGGACTAACGGCTTGTTAGATCTATTAAAAAGCTTATCATTGTAACAAAAAAAAAGCTCATCAGAATTCGGAACAAAAGTTGCTTGTATGACAGATGGCTACAAAAGGAGCCGTCAGGATCCTAATTCCATTACATAAAGATAGAACTGCAGCTACGCTCTGATAGTCAGGTGTGGAGCGACTTTGCAGCCAATTCAAGCCATTCGGCTGGCTTATTTGGAGCCGCCATGGGGTTGCTTGTTTGATACGGTGCTCTAGCAGCAATCCTGCAAACATAATATATATATATATATATATATGGTGCTCATTAGAATCAACAATCACTTGCATAAAGGGACTGAAGGAATATATGTAAATAGGTACACCAGAGATCGAGAAATAATTCTTGATTTCGAATATCTTTGATTCGTTTAAGTGATCTCACCTGTCTTCCTCTTCTCTAAGAATCGATGAAGTGAAGCTTTCCTAGCAATTGGGAGGTCTGTAAGGAAAGGAAGTTATGATTAGAAACACATAAACAGTGGCACAAATCATCCATCCGTCTAAATATTACAGTGAAGGAAAGATAATTACCACCAACCACAGGTCCAGATGGTGACTGAGGGTGCCCTTGAACCAAAGCATTGCAAATATTAGGATTAATATTTACATTAGGAGAAACGGCCTGCAGGAATCAGAAGAAAATCCAATTGAATTATGAGGAAACGAAGGCTGGCTCTGAGGAAAAGCATAAGCAAAGCTGTTCTGTGTAGGGAATGTTCCTCTGCTGGCAAAGGCCAAGATCTCCGTGACTCTTTCAGTGGGAAAATTATCGAACACCACAACTTGTCCGCCATAAAAGATTGTCATCTGTCCAACTCCAGGCTCCTTAGTGACAGACTTAGATGCACTGTGCGTCATGAAAGTTAAAATCACCAAAGCCATAAATTAGTGTACGGTCATCATGTTTCTGAAGTAATGGCATGGATCCGTGAAAGGCTTGAAATTGACTCAACACACCTGAAATTTGCCGTCTTTGGAATCTCTTCTGTGGAGAGATGCGGAAATAAGTCCATCGTTGAGAAGTTTTGCGGTTCTCTGTTATTCTCCTTGGTCGGAAACAAGTTCATGGTTTTTGCGGACTCACAAGATACGTCAGCTAAATCTGTCAACGTTTTATAGGCAAATCAAGAATTTTGACTAAACACTCCAGACAAATTTTCTCAACTGAAAATATCTTAAATCTTATCGTTTTGTACTTTCCAATCTAATCTCATCAAGTGTAGACAGTGAAACTTGAGACAGAAAGTCATGCCTAGCCTAGGAATAATGAATTTTTTGAAAAAGCCCTAACATACTTAAGTTCACTACAGTCATGGTAATTTTGCTTCACAACAAACATGGAAATTCGTAATTCAAGTAAGTTTATTTTCTGGGAACCAAAAAGAAAATAAGCTTCATGCGACACTTTCAACGAGAACGGTAAATATAACCGGAAAAAAAAATTACGGAATGATAAGCAAATGGGTAAAATCAATTCAATGATTCAATCCATACCACTTCCTTCGGCGTTAGAAGTCATATCGCAGCTCTCGGGCTATAAGATCTCCAATCACTCGCTAAAAGAAGTCTGAGGAAAAGGCCGATTAGCCAGCGACTTCACTGGCCTGTGGTCGGAAAACTCCAAGTACACAGGTGAATAGAGAAAAAGCCAATCAATACAGCTAAAAGAGAAACAAACCAGCAAGCTAATTGAGAGAATTGTTGGGGTGGATGGTTTCAAGGGTCGATCTAGGTCGGTTAGGTTACTTGTATCAATGAAGGATATGACTGGACGCCCTCGAGAAACTTACTTTAGACTCAACGAAGGTATTGGGATGGGGAAAGTGTGGATTGACATTATATAATTGGGATGCAGCGGTGTCAAATTAAAGCACGAGGAATATGTGACTATTGAACTTGGAATCGAGCATGTTTGCTTCGTTTCTCTCTCTCTCTCTCTCTCTTTAATTTTGTGAGAGTAGAGTACAATGGTAGTGGTTGAATAATTAATTATTCTGGGGATTCCCCCACGTGATCTTGCGTCGCTTTAACGGAAACGTCAAAGGTGGTCGTTCCCTTCCTCCCCTGCTTTTACGTGAGTGCCCCTCCAGGCCTTTACCATTCCATTTTGAAATTTTTTGGGTTAAAATTCCATTTTAGATTTAGGATACACTGGTAGAGAACACAAAATAAAAAATAATGAAATTTGGATGATTCATGCTTTTTGTTCAGTATCATAAATACTTTTAGTCAAATTACGCTGTCAATGAGTCAAATAATTATTTTTAACGTTACACTCCCTTTTTATATTTATTTTATTTAATTTAATATTAGAGTATTTATTAGAGAATCTTATTGATGTTATTTGTAAAAAAATTATTATTTGACTTTTATTTTAATAATGTTACTTATAAAAATCATAATTTAACTTAATATTTCAATAATGTTAGTTATAATGAATGGCATTTTGGTCATTAAATAAAGAATTTATTTTATTATAGTGTTTGAGCCTGAAGTTTTAAAATTTTTTGAGACCCTATAAAATTTATATTACATCTAAGAGACTTGACTAAAATTCTCGCTAGATTATACTAACAGTGGTTGTTGAGTGAAATGGAAGAGATTGATTTTTCATGATAAACTAATATTTGAATTTCCTATTAAAAAATAAAAAAGTTAATCTTTTATTCTTTTAAGTTTTAACTCACTATAACTCAATCTCTTATTTGACTTGTTGTGATTCAGTTCCTCAACTTTTGATTTACTTATAACTTGATCTTTATTTTTCAATTTTTTAAAATTATCCTTATCAAATACTCCCTCCGTCCCAAATTATTATACACTTTTGAAGGAGTTTCTCTGTTCTAAAATATAAGACATTTGAGTAGATTAAGGTTTCATTAAATGTATTACTTCAATATTATCTTTCTCTCTCTATAATAATTTTTGTCCCTTCTCTTTTCAATTTATTAAATGATGGGTATTTTTAAAATTTTATATTTTTATTTTTTAAAAAATAAGTTGTTAAGTGTATTTAATGAGGTTTATTGATATGTGATATTTTGTCTAAAAGTGTCTTATAATTTGGAGCAGAGGGTAAGAGAGAAAAGAAATACCCATATTTTATTCTAAAATATACTTCTTTTATTCTTTGATATAGGATCTAAGTTAATATAAAAAAAGAGAAATAAAAGTTAAAAATTAAGTCATAAATGAGTTAAAAATTGAAACACTGAGTTATGGCAAGTCATATTTAAATGACTAAATTATAAGTGAATTAAAAATTAAAATTAAAAGATTAATTATTTTTGAAAAATACATACATATTTAATATCCTACTGTACTATTAATATGATTATTTTCGATAAGAAAATATCTTTTTTTGTCATTTCTAATCATTCATGGATACTTTAAATCTCAATTTATTTCTCTTTTATTTTTAATTTTTTTTTAAATAAATAATTTAAATACTTAATTTTTAATGTAAAATTTTATTTTACAATTTTTAATTTAAAATTTGAATTCAAATTCATTCAATTGAATTGATAACCAGTGAAAGAAAAAACGAGCAGTAGATGGAATGATTGGTGGGACAGGGGGAGCACCAAGGGGGCAAAGTAACGGCGAACAACGTGAGGCAGGGTTAAAGCACGAGCAAGTCACTTAGAGCAATAAGAGAGAGACACGTGGCAGAGGCAAGTAGATATGTGTTGGTGCAAATGGGGCTTCAAGATGAGGGCGGGTCATAACCAGCCTCTTCTAATCTGCTAAATGCGCACGTTGAAATTGTTTCTCTTCCCGAAGCATGGTACTGGGAAGCAAGGCACCGTTGTTCCTGGTTGGTTTGGCGGGATCCGATATAATTATTACTATAAATATAAATATATAATGAATGAAGACAAGCAAGAGAAATAAAAAATCAATCAATTTTTTATTTTAAAAATAGAAGCGTCTTAAAGTTTACTCTTGGGGTGTATAATATTGGGATGCAAAGATATGCAACTGTGAGTGTGCGTGCTTATATATAATTGAGAGAATGATAAATTAGTATATTGTAAAAGTATTAATTTCAAATTAGATTGTTAAATATTGACATTCTCAAATTTCAATATTTCTTTTGTCATGTTTTAATGTTAAAGTTCTTCATTTGATATTAATATTTTTACGTGGTCTTTACTTGTTATTCTTTCTAGATAATATTTACCAAATGTCACCGGAGTCATTTTAAAGGGGATTGAACTACGTAACTTGATGAAGGATAACCGTTTTGAAGGTAAACCATATGGGTGGTAGTTTTAGTTTGGCAGAAATATGCGCAAGGATCTAGATCTGCCATTTCGTTTTGCTTCATTGTACCCCATTTCATGGGAGAGATATCATCCATAATTTGCTGTAATGCTTTTTTTAACGTTGTTAATAATTATGCAACGTAATTTTTCTATCTCATTTTGTGCCACCAAAACCGAAGATATCCTCCACGTCCCATGCCTTTTTTTTTTTTTTGGGTCTCTGGAAAGGGATGGCACATACCAGCAAATTTGAGCTGTCTCCTTCTCCTTCTTTATCACTCCCATTATCCCAAACGTGAGTGGTACAGCCAATTCGCAAACCTTATCCGGTTGCGTGTATACTCTAAAAGTTCACGTGTCCTAACATCTAAAAATGTGTGATCTTTTATTTTCATTCGTATCTAAAATGTGAAAGTTGGGCTTCAAATTTTATTGAATATTTCCTAATTAGGTTAGATTTTACAAAAATAAAAAATATGGCTTTTAAGAGAGGCTATATGAGATGTGATAATTCGGGCTGAACTTCAAAAAGCAACAAAATTAAAGGGGACAACAAAACTTCCCAGCTCACGCCCCCATAGACTATGTCACTGAGCCTGTCAAGACTTAGTCCATGAGGATCACGTTGGCGCATTTACTAACTCTACTTATAGGCTTATTAAGATCATGCTAACATATCTAGTGAGGTTTGAGTCTAGCAGGATGATTCAGCCCTTTACAACGTGATGAATAAAAGTTTAAATTTTTATTAGGAGAGATGTTTATATTTAATTAATTCTTACTAATGTCTCAAATGGAATTACTTTCAATAGAAAGATATATGTAGATGATAAAAAAAAATAAAGATCATGCCAGCATTTATAAAAGTATTCATGCAATGTAAGACTAAGACAATTTAATTTGTAGGTTAATAATTTTTTAAAATAATGTAATAAGTAAAAAAAAAATTATACTAGGACTCAATACTATTTCTATCTTAGTTTATAAGACATTTATTAACAAAATATTTGCACTAATAAAGTTCATTGAATACACTTTACAATTTTATTTTCTAAAGCACAAATATAAATTTTCAAAAAAATTTCTTTCAATTAATATAATGCTATTCATGAAATATTAAACAGAAAAAGGAAATATATTAAGGAGATAAGGATTATGTCAAAACAAGCATAATTAATAAAACTTCATTTTTATCAAAAGTATTATATATTTTGAAACACTGATTCACTTCAAAAAGTATTTCATAAATTGGAATGAAGGAGTAACCTTAATTAGTATTTTTAAATCAGTAAATTGTTAACTTTTTGCTTGAGAGCTCTGATGCCTTAAAAATTCCTTTACAAATCCATAGCAAAATAGTTTTGAGTTTTCACAAGGTTTAATGCATTCTTTCCATATCTCATAGCAATCTTATATTGTCTCGAGATATGAATCACACTCTCAACTGCACCACAGTATTTCATGTTTTTGCTACTAGGCATGAGACCTATAAACTACAACTATTGTTAGATTGACTAGAAACTTTTAAGGACTGTTAAAAATGTTAAAACTTTAAGGACTTTGTTATAAGGGAAATGACAAATAAATCTCTTCAAAATATAGAAATGGCAGTTTGGTCCATTGAAATGTGACAATGCTTTTTAAGCTCAAGGCACCTAATTATCATTATAGTTTTTTTATAAAATGACAAAAATACCATTTAAAGTCACAAAACTCAGATGATTTCTCCCTAAAGCAGACACCCCTTGATTGCTTGTGTGGTTGACAATTTGGACGATTTCATCACTTAGCTTGTGACTGATCTCCAACCCTCTTTCATTGATAACTAGAAGCAAGTCACGATTAAGATTAGACTACTGGCCAAGAGCAAGTTAGAAAATTGCCTTAAAATAGCCAAAGCCGAGATGTTGATTTCACTTGTCTTTGTTGAACATTCAACTTCAAGAGTACGGTGTCACAATGATTTTAAATCTCTCATTGTGTGATAAGAACAAAGAGCTTATAGTTTCTTTGAGAGTGATAAAGCCTCTAGTTTGAGCATTCAAGACTAGGGCATCAACGGCAAAAAGAGAACGCGGCATGTGCTTTGCTTCGCCTCTTTCATATAGAACAAAACAAGTTCATAATCAGAAGGTTGGGAGCCATTCCTCTTTTGGTGAACCTTTTAGAGAGTGGCTATAAATCCTCTAAATACTAATCACAGCTAAAGATATAATCTAAGGTAATCTAGGGATTAACTTGAAAAGGATTACCAAGTTTATAATTTATAAAAATAGGATCCCAAGTTTTTTATAATTTAAAATTCATAATAAACTTATAACCAAACTAAAATATATTTTTAAAAGTATGAGATATCTCAAGAGAATGAAAAGATTCAAAAATAGTTAAAAAATAATAAGGAATGAAAAACAGAGCAATACACCATTGCATGTGCACATACGTCGTGGTTATTTTGCTTTGTACCATACGATGCGACATAGGCATCATACGTCGTGGCATGTTGTACATATCAAACATCAATTTTGATGTCATTTGATAGCAACCTAAGACAACTTTTGATGTACCTCATTTCTTCATCTGACATCCAAATGAGGTGATATAGATGTTTACGAAAAGCTTTTTTCGTAAATAGCTAATGGGACGGGTTTTACTTTTA